ATTCCATAAAGGCCTTGCCTTTGCTCTTTGACTTTCTAACATGGTTGATGTTAAGGTCGATTTTGTCAGCCCTGTCTTTGATGTCCATCATCATGTGTAATTCTGTCTCACTCCTGAGCATCCATTTAGAGATCGTCTCACAGAATCCTCTTACTGTGTCGATGTAGATGAGGGTATCTGTGGTGTAGCGGCACAAGGCCTCCTCTAGTTCCTTCCTGTAAAACAAACGGTTGGCCAATTTTGTGAGATTTCAACAATCCACAAGTATTTGAGTATTTGACAGGGTTTGGTCTCAGTCCAGCTTTAACTGATCTTAAATAGTCAATATTGTTCTCAGGAAACAAGAATAAGCACTTGAATCAAAGGACGGCAATATGCCAGATGAATTCAGTAAATACTTGGGCATTAAACTGTTGGTATCTATACCTGTATATGCAGGCTTCAGTTTCTGTGTTGACATCTTCAGGTTTATTACAGAACTTTCAGCTGATAATAATTCACACTCACACATTTTGCTGCTATAATCTTGTAGTGGTTAGCAATAAATCAGATTCCAGAAGAAATATGTAATAGAACAGTATGTAGCTCATATAGACCTTATTTGGTATTAGCTTGTGTAAGGGAGAGCTGAGTGATTATGGGTTTATTAAGTTCATGTTAGGTGGGTTTATGTAAGTGGTCAAGATATTTCCTGTTTTGGAAGTACAGGGTTCCCGGAATAGAGGAGTGAGAAGGGGGGGCCCAATAGACGTCAAGACGGACAGAGTCCAGCTGTTGGGAAGTGGCTATATAGCTGATAAAGGAGTGAGCCAGAGAGAGAAGGAGGACCATGCTGCAGTAGACCATGTACCTTTTTGGGGACCCAGCCGGCTGGGGAAGACGCTGACTGACTCGGGGTCGACAACCAATGACCTGACTGACTAGTGCTCTGACAATCTTCTTATGCTTTATCTATTCCATTGCAAGAGGAGAGTCTCTGTTCTCTGATCTCTGTTCTCTGTTCCATAACTACAAGATTATTTGTTTAAATACTACTCTATTCAGAATAATTGTAATATTAAATGATCCTTTAAATTGTAATGGTTTGTCTGAATTAATTTAGTCGGTATCTCACTCTTGCCACGACAATCTACAAAAGGTAATCCTTGTCAAAGTCTGTGTTTATTTGTCGTATGCACAGTTAGGAAACGTGTTTCCCTGTACAGTGAAATTCTTACTTTGCCGTCCACATGAATGCCACATAATACAAGTGAAATATAAAGCAGATGAGCAATAACACATCTAAAAAGGTAGCTAAACAAATCTAAGGCACTTTAAAGCAACAACAAGAACACAATGTAATGCAGAGAAAATATATGCCATGTGGGCACTGTGAAGTGCAAATATTCAGCAGTGAGTGTGCAATTATGCATGTGCAAACTGAGTATGTAAACAGTACAGATGGAATTCACACTCACACACACTGCTATAATCTACAAAAGGTAATCCTTGTTTCACCAGTGTTAAAGATAGAGATACTGAGTCAGCACCAACAAACTCACAGTAAGCTTTGCTCTTACTCACACAGGCATGAAGTGCATGAAGTGAAACTCACCTGGGTGAGTTTTAACTATCTGCTCCTGATTTGATATTAACTTTTGGCTGATTCCAGATAGTATCTGATCTTTTTGCTAATATGGGAATAGACCCCAAAACAGACATTTTATACATCAACAAAAAGGTCATAAATATTGTATTGACAATAAACTGATTGTCACAATACTCTTTTTATAGACAAATTACATGATATATCATCATTATATAAAACCTTAAAAGATACACCTGAAGGGTTGTGAGAGGCTCAACCAGACATATTAGCTGAAAATATATACTGTATGTAAACAAGGCAAAACTATTTCTTAATCAGAATCACAATCATGTGCTTCATTATTTGTAAAATAATTGAGGCCTCACTTACTCAGTGGGACAGTTTAACAGAATGGAGCTATCATTCATATTATTAATTACACCTGTGGTTTTGCAAGTATTACAAGTTGAAATGTGAACTGTGGAGAAGGGCTGTGAGGGTGTTTCAGTTTGTTTTTCACTGCATTTACATTGTTTGACCAACAGAAAACAATGGATTCACAGTGAATCACTGATGGAAGTTGAAGGTTTCAGGAACTTCATTTGTGCCATCATTAGGCAATATTCGACATACTCACTGAACATGGGTATTTTTCAGTTTTTATATCTAGATTTTGACCTTGGAATGATTTTTCAGTGATGATTAAGAGAATGACTGACAAAACCAAAAGAAGACTTTACTGCTACACATTTGTTGCCTTTGTTTGTAATTAATTTCATTAAGATCCTTAACAGAACACAAGGGTTAACATTAATTTCTACAGGGATGGTAAAAAGTAAGCAAAACCTTTGCTTAAGTAGTAGCCTAACACAATAATGTAAAGCTGTCTTACTTCATTACAAGTCAAAGTCCTGCGATCAAAACCTCCTCTGTGTACACAAGTATTATCAGCAAAATGTACTTCTTTCTTCACTGGTTTCAGTCTTCCCTTGTGAGATTAATTTTATAAAAATTAAAGCTCAGTGATGTGTCATTCATGTGTTTTGCTAATACTGGAGTCAAGGAAATGACAACAATTGGTAAAGTCTTGTTTTATATAGAATCAAACTGTTACCCCACCACAATAAAAACACTTATTCCAACACTTTATATAAGGATAGAGAAAGCAGTAATTACATGAATAAGTTTTTAAAAAATCAAAACAGCCAATTAAATTCTAAACCAACATCTGTGAAGTAACTACTATGGTCCTTGAGAACAGGCTGCTAGATGTCACTTGACCATGTTTAATCTGCAGATATCAATTAACATGCATAATGATTATGTATTACCACTGTCAAAAATTAAGTTTACATATGGTGCCACATGCCACAGTCATTACTTAAGTTCAGTATTACATTATATTTGTGTGGCTCCTCATGTAAAGTATTTATTTACAAGATGAATACATTTTGTCAACTCATAAAAATAAACATCCATCCATTATCTACACTGCTTATTCCTGAACAGGGAATGGAGCCCATCCCTGCTGTATTTGGGTGAGAGGCAGGGTACAGCCTGGACAGGTCGCCAGTGCTGACACTTAGAGACAGACAACCACACACACACTCACATTTACTCCTACAGGCAATTTGGACACGCCAGTCGGCCTAAGCTGCATGGCTTTGGACTGTGGGAGGAAGCCAGAGTACCCAGACAGAACCCGTGCAGGCACAGGGAGAACAGCAAACTCCGCACAGAAAGACACCAGAGCTCACACCCAGGACTTCTTGCTGTGAGGCGACAGCGCTATTCACTGCGCCACCATGCCACCCTCAGAAAAGATATTTACCTTAATTGTGTTTGCTCATATATTAGGCTTTGCTCTTCAAATGTTATAATAAAAAATACTGGTATTAAGAATTTACCTTGACTCTGCCATTTGTCTGTCTCCACTTGTTATGCTACAATTCCTTGAGACTTTAATGTGGTGGTAGCTGTGAGGATAAAAGAAAACAAGTTAGATTCACTTTTTTGAAACATTTAATACGAAATAATACACCACAGATTTAGTTGCCTAAGTTAAGGCTGAACTTTTTATTTTCATTTTAATAGGTAACAATATATCTGATGCTCTTGGTACACAGTCCAAATGGAGTTGGTTTTATACATTTTTAACAAACAGGTGAACCCGAGGCAG